GAAAGCCCTCCTCCGGGTACTTACTCTCCTAATTTCTTTCATGGAGGGTTGCCGGAGAAGGGACTCTCCCGCAGATCTCAAAGGGCAGTTGGGCATATACGGACGTAAGCGCTCGTTCAGGTAGCCAGGACCCAAGCCGTTTAGGGCTTTAAACGTTTAAATGTCTGCTTGCCCACTGTGGAGAGTTTTGCTTCCACACATAGGACTTGTAGCCAAGTGTTGGGGACTCGAAATGAGTGACTCACTCCCAAGTCCAACTCAAACTGAGTCAGCGACCCAGCTCGGTCTCAACTCTGCAAAAATGAGCAAGTGACTTGGTTCAAGATTTTTACGTTTTTATTAGCAAGTTGTGGTCTACATCTTTTACAACAATAGAGGGCTTACCGTGCGGCATGAGTAAGACAGGGAGAAGGCAAATCTTCAACTCTTATTTTTGGCACAAGGACTTTGACTCCCGCCCCCCTCCCCCCACATTTCACTTCCTTTTTTTCTGTTAAACTTGGCTCTTGAGATTTGATACTTGACCTGTGACTGGACAATTTCTTGCCATGACTTGAGAGTTGAAAGTAAAGTCTTGAGACTTGGAGTAAAGAACTTGAATATGTCACTGCTTGTGACTTTGCATATTTTGTGCAAAGATTCATGTATTTGGAACAATGAAGCGGGTGGTGCTCCTGAGCATTTGCAGACAAAGCTCAGCTCAGCTCACTGTCTGGCCAGGGCAGAGTGCAGGAAATATGTCTAGTAAGGACAAGAGAGCAGGATTATGGCTTTGTCTTCTCATCCCTAAATATGACATTGAAACATGTTAAAATAGCATCCAAATGAACCCAGCAGCAGTAGTACCAATGGTCTAGAACACAATTTAAAGGAAAATAAAAAGGTCTTTTGCACCAAAAGAACCACAGTGTAGGTCTCAAGCAGGCCTCTCTGAGCAGGGTGCCCCACAGCTGTGGAACCACCCGTGCAAAGGTCCTTTTCTTAATAGCCTCCTTCCCTCATTTGGCAAAGGTACCCAGAGAAAGGTGTCTGTGGAAGATCTCGGGCTCTGGGCTGATATATATGAGAGGAGACAAACCTGACTCCAGTCTGCTTTACACTGGGCTCAGAAGTGGTCTTGGAACAAGTACAGGTGACAAAACACTGGCATAATGATTTGTTGGCTGGTCCCTCTTTAACCTTTTTGCTGCCTTATTTTGGACCAGCTGCCAGTCTGGAGGCATTTTAAAATGCAACCTCATGTCTATCATGTGCCGTAATCCAAATCTGAGTTTACCAGAGCATGAATCATTCAAACTAGGCACACAGTCATGCCCAAATCCATTCCA